CCTTTTCAGTTTTAGAAAAAAGAAAAGAAAATGATGGAAATGTCAAAAAAATAAAATAAAATAAGTTTTCCATGTGATATGTGGTCTAGTTGTTGGGAAAATTTACAAATATGAATTGTCGGATACTACAATGTACTGTCAGGCATTAAATGTAAGCCCGTGGGGGTAACAAAAGTCGTCAGGCATTACAATGAACCGTGGGCATTACATGGAATCCCTATGGATGTAGTGAAAACCGTTGGACATTGTAATGGACATGCAAACCTTAAATTGGATACCCAAGAGTTGAATTTTCACCGTCGGGCAATATAGTATACCAACGGGTAACAGTAGTATAACATGTGAGTTGATAATAACCGTCACCATTGGGATGACAGTTGGCTATTACTATCATAACCGACTGCCCGTCGGCTATTACATTATCACCGTCAAAGGTATGGTGATTTCTAGTAGTGACACCATGATATGGCATACAAATAATTGCCAGCTTTAATTCTTTAATAAAAATATTTAGTCAAATGGCTTGATAAAATATGAAATAGAACATTGGAATTGAATGTTGGCTATATAATACATGACACCACATAGTCTATGAAAATTAATGCATGGAAGCCCGAAGGTGCGCTAGTAAGTTGCTTGTATATAGCAGATATCAACATACTTCCTTCATCCCAAAATAAGTGTCTCAACCTTAGTACAACTTTGTACTAAAGTTAGTACAAAGTTTAGACACTTATTGTGAGACGGAGTTAGTATAAGATTGTTCTATGAAGGATTACACTTAAATTGAATAACTGTTTCATCATATAAGTATTGAATTGTGAGCTTCATCTAGTAACCGGTCAGTTCATTTGCTTGATTCTATGCATATAATTCCTAGTCTTCAGAAGAAATAAAAAAATCTTATATGAAATTTATAACCACTTACCCGTGTGTTTGTTATACACAAAAAATTTCAGATCTGTAAAACATCATCTATTCGCTCAAGTCCAATGGTTGATGGTGACATCAAACCCTAGTGCGGTTCATGTGTACAATTAGCCAGACTGGATTGAAAAATATTGTCAAACATGCATACTTATCTGCACCCAATGCTTCCACTCTAGCTATTTGGATTGGAAAAGCCAATAGATGATTGTGTTGTTGCACCTTGCCGCACGTCTCTTGCGGACGCGTTTGCAAACTCTCCTGGTGACTGTCCATCATTTTGATGCTCTCCTGGCGGTAGCAGCCCCGCCCTGAGTAGCAACATGCCAACATGCCGCCGGAAGTATGCGAGAGATGGATGCGGCAGACCCGTCATGCCTCCTGTGTAGCAACGTGCTGCCGGAAGCATGCCCATGCGGCGACGAGAGACTTCACCTGCATATATAGAGGGAGCCAGCCGAAGGATGGTCGCCTGATGGACACCAACGATGGGAGCCATGGCAAGGCTGAGGCCGCCCTAGTGCACGCCAATGTGAGCCATTGGCTGCCATTGGTTTTTCTTCACTGGAGGCTCAATTAATTGGTTTGATTGGGTCTGTCATATAGGACATGAACACAACTTTTGTTTGCTTTGTCTTTCATGGATTTTGATTTATATTCATACCCAAATGATTTGTACCTGACGTCTGGTATTTAGGATTTCAGCCCGAACGCGTTGTTAATGTGTCCATGGCAACGGCAAAAATAGTGGCAACTCTTCGCTTCATGTGTCCATGGCAAATCTATTTACAAAGATCATGGCAACTTTTGTTTAACATCCCATGCCAAAATCTTTTTTCATATAGCTTGGTAACTTCATATACACGACACTTGCCACGATCTACATAGCTATTTTTTCTCTGATATTTATTGTTTACAAAAAACAATTTTCTTAATTTTCCAAGTCTAATTAGGTCTTTGTTCTAGTACGGTTGGGGACATAGCCCCATGGTATGACCCGCCCATTCAGGCCTGGGTTATCCAGTGGTGACTTGAAATGAACTCGACAGATGGGCCGTGATGACGATCAAGAGGCTCAAGGCTCGAAAGGTATCCATGAAGCAGGCCGGCTAATTGGGCCAATGCCTGGGGTGCCAACTCATCTAAGGAGATAATGGAAACTCCCGTACATGGGGAATACGATGAGTAGGAAGTAGATTAGGGCACGGGTTGGAAGATGACCCGGACTCTGTGTAAGCCCAGGGCCTCGACCTATATATGAAGGGGATCAACAGAGGCAGAAGGACGAAGTTACAATCTCTCGAGTACTAGGATAGCCAGGTTGCACCCTTGTAATCGAGATCCCAAGCAATAATCAATTAAGCAGGAAGTAGGCTATTACCTCCATCGAGAGGGGCCAAACCTAGGTAAACTCGTGTCTCTCGATTCTGATCAACCCCGTTCAAGTTACTACCTTGCGGCGATGGCCTTACGACTAAGTCCTTTCATGAGGACATCTCATGTGACAAAACCACGACAAGTACCATGGCATTTTTCTGCTTAGGAGCCTTAATCTCCAGTTCTTTTTTATGCCTTTTGTTTTCAATTCGTGTTGTTTGCCATGGCAATTATACCACATGGACCATGGCAAATATATCACATTGATCATGGAATTTTTTTAACAAACCCACGACAAAATCGCAATTCACATATCATGGAAA